CAAAATTTTTAATAGGATCAAATGGTCTTTTGGATTGCTGTTTAAGCATCCTTCAAGTGAAACTCATGTATCTTAAATTAGTTGGCTTGCTAAGAGATGTACTTAAGATTACCCAATTGAATGCCATTGAGCTCTTTTCTTATCACTTTGGATTTTTCTGGTTGTTTTGATTTTAAACCTCTCCCTTTATTATTTCTTGTTGCTGGACATCATACAATAATTAGGAATTGATCGTTCTAAAAGAGTCAATGCTATGCGTGGAGCAATATATGAAACATTCCCTGAGCCAAATCGCCGCTTGTTGCAGAGGTTGCTAATAAATTACTGTCATTCAACTTATTCTTATTTGATTTTCTTCCTTGGTTTCTAGTCACATTTTTTTTATTTTAATTTTATTTCTTCCTTTTATTTCAGAATCCTAATGATGATGCAAACTGTGGCTTCTCACATGGCTGAGAATCGAATGAACTCTTCAGCTGTGGCAGCTTGCATGGCACCCTTACTCCTTCGGCCCCTTCTACACGGTGACTGTGAGATTGAGAATGACTTTGATGTGGGTGATGATGGTTCTATGCAACTGCTGCAAGCGGCTGCTGCAGCCAATCATGCTCAATCTATTGTTATAACATTACTGGAAGAGTATAAGACTATATTTGGGGTAAGCTGTTATAATTAACTTCTTCTCCGTTCATGGTTCCTACAACAAAATATGCACCCTGTTCACCGCAACCCACAAAGAAACAGCTCACCAAGTCTAATTAGGTACCACAGAAGCTTAATGACTTGCTTCTGACTGTTTGATGAAGAGGTTGGGATAAAAAATACTTGAAGTAGCTGAGTCTTTTAACCAACACAAACTGTTATATACATTCAAATTACTGAAAAGAAGAAGAAGAAGAAGAATATTTGGTCCTTTCTCCACATTCCAATTATTGATTATTTCAGTTTGGACTGGTATTAACCTGTGATTAATTACTAGCTTGGTAATCTGCTTCCAGGAAGGTTCTGCGACCCCTGATTTATACTCAGACTCAGAAGAAAGTTGTAGTGGGAGTGAGGAGGCCACTGATGATGAGTCCTATGTAGATGATGAGTCATATGTGGATGACGAGTCATATGTAGATGATGAGGATTATGAAGATGATGATGCATCACAGGGGTCTGAAGAATATACCAATGATGATCTTGAAAATACATCAAACAGAACAGGGATTGAGGATGATGAGTCTGTAGGCAATGATTTGGATGATGAAAAGGTTCATTCCTTCACTTTCTTACATTGGCATCTGCACTTTTTAGTAAACGTAAATTGACAGTAGAGGCAGACCATAAGTGGTTCAACTTTTTATGTTATTATGAGACCTTGAGTGAATTATAGGTGCTCTCAGGCTTGGCTCCTAAGTTATTAGACTTATTTGGCTTTTGTATTATTATGTCATGATCATGTAGCTCTATGACATACATTGAGACTAAAGGTCCTTAGATGTTGGCAGTTTCCATATATTCATTTTCCTTAGATTTAGGCATACAAAACCAAGTTGACATTCTGGGAAGTAAAATGCGTATCTGAACTTCAACTGAAAAATACACCAGATATACAGTTCCATCTCGTCTTGCTATTGCGATTTCTTTCCCGTAGGAATGGTAGAGATTACCCTCTTTCTGCATGCCTAGGTACTGTCATTTTTCCTTTTTTGGTGCTTCAGGCATATCCATGCGAGAAAATCATACTTTGGAATTTATGATTGTTGTTTGAATTTAACTAACGAGGTGAAATAAAATTGATGATGATTATGCTTACATTATACTTGCCCCTTGTCATGAATGCAGGAATTGCTGAATTCTGGTGATTCTAGCTGGGATTCTGGGTTCCCTGGTGGTGATGAACCAAAGACCAGCCAGAAATTACAATCTAGTTCAATCCAAATTTCACTTCTCAAAGATGATTGTGCTCAAAGGAGTGAGAAAAGTCTGAGCCAAAGCAACAACTATTCAGCAATGCAGACCAAGTTGGCTGGACAATCAAAAGATGTTGCTGCTGAAAAAGCTTTCCAGAATGAGACAACTAGTCACATTCCAATATCATCCATACAAAAATCGACAACAGCTGGAAATGGACCTAACCATAGCAGAAAGCATCCCACCATTTGGGGACGTACCTCTGTGGGTGTACTTTTCCCTAATTTGTGTTGTAGCTCTCCTCTTTAATCTCTCATATAGCCTTCCCAAATTATTTGCTAATAATTTATTCTTGCTCTTAGAAATGGACCTTAGACTTTCAACTTACGATCACTTAGCTTATTTTGTGGTGACTAATCTTTTATTTTGTTTATATATTTTGCTTGAGTGCAGGCAAGGAAGAACCTCTCGATGGAATCTATTGATTTTTCTGTTGAAGAAGTAGAGTAAGTTATGCACTTATCATTAAAGAGAAAAAAAGGTTTCATACTAGCTTGCCTGCAATATGTTTTTCTTGTTCATGCATCATATCTGCTGGGATAACATGCTAAACCATAAAACTTTCAAGCCTTATGACTTTCTGTAGATGCTGTTGGTGTTTCATGTTTAAAGATAAAGTTTTCCTCTCTCTCTCTCTCTCTCTCTCTCTCTCACACACACACACACACACACACACACATTTTAAAGGATAGAGTGATTTGTACTTGGCTGGTCTGTTTTTCAAAGCTAAACAGAGAAGAACAAAAACCACTATAGAGCCACATTTTCATTTTGGTGATGTGGACTCTAATTTCTATTTTTTTTTGCCGTGTGGACTCTAGTTTCTAATATCTAAGTTTTCAATCCAATTTAAGGGATGAAATTGAGAAGCTTGAGGCCACAAAAGCTGACTTGCAGAACAGAATTGCAGATGAGGTAGTGGCTTTAAGATGCCTCTTCTTGGTTATGCTTGTCAAAATTCATTTTGGTTACATTTTGGAATGCATATCTAGAAATTTCCATAACAAATCTTTTTTTTTTTTTCTATAATAGGTCAAAGGTAATGCGATTCTCCAAGCCAGCTTGGAAAAACGAAAGAAGTCCTTGCATGATCATCATCTAGCTCTCAAGAAAGATGTATGGTCTATCTGAAGGAACATGCTTTTCCTGCTTTGCTTTTAATTTTAGCCCTTTGGTTTCCTCCGAGCTCATTGTCTGCATATCTACATAATTGACAAGTGTAGGTGCATGTTAAGCTTTCAATACACACACACACACACACACACATATATAGATCAAATCTGCTTATTCATTTTATTTTTCCTCTTAAAAATCAAATCTTCTACAAATGTCTATTACTGGAAGAGTGTTTGTGCAAGGCCAACAAAAAAGTCTCCGTTGAGGTGGATATGAAGTGCATGGATGGCATCAGTGTTTATTTTGGCCCTCATATAGAAGTTGATGATTTTGAGGACAGTACTGTATTGTTTTTAGCATCTGGCCAAAAGGAAAGCCAAGTGCAACTTGCTTGTTCTTTCTTACATTATTTCCAGTATGGTATGCAACTTGTTTCCAGTTTTCCTCGTGCTAAAAGAGCTGATGGAGTTCCATGTGTTCGTACCAAGCATGGAAGGCTGGAAGTCAACTTCAATTTATGAAAAAAAAAATGTTATTTTCTTTCGTTACTAAAAATTTATAAGTTGTATAGTGCATCGGATATTAGCAAGTTATTTTCACCTTTGTTTTGGGCTTTTTTATTGACTTCTCTGTAGATATCTTGCTTGTTGAAAAAGATCTAGTCCTGACAACAAGTTCTATTTATTCTTGTAGGTAGCAAAGCTACATGAACAATTGCAAAAGGAGAGAGATAAGAGAAAAGCTTTTGAAGCAGGACTTTACACATCTCGTCGACCCTTATCTATTCCAGTAACTATTGATGAAAAGGTTAGCTTAACTCAAATTTAACTTGTCTATTAGTCTTTGTTTTGCATCAAATTCTAAGTTTCTGACTTGCAAATTTGATAAAGACTAAGACAGAGCTCGAGGAAATTGTTCAAGCAGAGGCAGTTATAAACATTTTGAACCAGAAGGTTCATGATCTTTCCATGCAGCTTAATCAACGTGAACAAAATTTCATTTCCATGCATGATTCAAGCGATCAGTTCCAACACATTCCAAATCATCAACTAAAACTGTAAGCTCTCTTTTGTTTCTTTCATGCCCTAACAAACACACTCATATTTTGATTATATGACCTTACAGTCAAGGAATCATTCTTGCACATGTCTGCTTTTTAGAATTGTGAACAATTATGCTAATATACATGCTAGAATTGTTCCCTAATACACCACTAACCAATAGTAAGTATAATACCTCAATGATGAATCAAAATAGTTTAGCAGTTTCTTCTCTTTGTTTTATGATTATCTCTTATTTCTTCAAATTCTAACACAAGACTATTTTCTTGGGCCAAAAA